TGAATTTTGTAAAAAAATCTTTCCTTTCAATTGATTTTTGTAAAAGAATCTTTCCTTGTAATTGATGTAAAATACAATAAGCCGTTATACAAAACGGAAATGATTGAAAAATTGAAATTTCAAATTCATTGAATTCAGAAAATATATCACGTTTGTTAAGTACAGGCACATATTAAATGCGGTCCCCTTTCGATCTTACTTAAATTTTATACAGTTTTTACTAATACCAAATATTATACAAGAGTTAATCTTAAAAGAAGGGTAGTTATTGAAAAATTTTGGTTCAACAATTTTTTTATTAATAAGTTTGACAGAAATTGTAACTTAAACTTAAGTCATTTACTGGAATAGACACTAACTGCACTAGTTACTTTTTACCCTTAAACAGAAAACTAACAGCGGGCGGCCGGACAACAGATACACATGCGGAAACATAAAAAAATTATACGACGTCACGCAAATTCATTGTGTTATTGCCGCTAGCAAAGTAGGGTGCGTATGATTTGAATGTCGATAGCTTTTTATTGATTTATATATTTAGTTCAAAACTTTTGTTTTTATCTTTTTAGTATGGAAAGTTTACTTCAAATTAGTAGTATTTATTGATAGATCAATTTAAAAATATGTTAATGAATTAAAAAATATGTAAAATATCAGTGCCATAGGCTTCTAATCCGTTCACCTGTCATACTTTTTTTTTACAGACAGTAAAATGTCCGCCGTACTGCCCTAATACGTGTTGGCGAACTTCACGTCTACGAATTTTTTTTTATTTCTTAGATACGTAGGTTTCTTCACGATGATTTTCACTGCTGAGCACGTGGTAAATCAGCACTTAAAATTGCAATTAACAACTTCATTGATTGGATGTACGTAGTGTAACGCTTCCCCCCTCTCATAATAAAAATATATTAAATATATAATATATATATATATATATATATATATATATATATATGACCAGGATAAATAAAATAAGTTTTGATCTTTCAAAAGGTTTAATAATAAGCCGTTTGTAATATTTTTGGCGTGATCGTCTTAGTTAGGACCCTTATTTACGTTGTGTTTGTTTAGTAACTTGGTTCTTTTAGGTGTCTTTTGGAAGAATGAATATTCACTAGAGCAATTGAAAGGTGTTGGTAGTGCCTTATAAGCTGAGTGAACCCCGTTCACGAAGACAGGGCTCGAGAAAGATTAAGAACATAAAATGTCCTATTCCACTTGTATCAGATTTACATTATTAATTTATTATTAATTATCCCTTCCCGCTTGGAAAAGGCTCATAAAATATTTATACAAAATACCCGATACAAGGGCTTCACTTTCCTACATTTATTTAAAAAAATGTAGGGGAGGCACACGACCCCACATACGCCGTGCACGGTGAGCGCCAACCATTTTGATGCACTCCCCCCGAAGGGAACGTTAATTCGGGAACTGGACCGTAGTCCACAGCAAAATAACTGGCGAACCAGTAAAAGAGGCTTGGCCCCTTGTTAGTGCGTAAGCACAAACATCGACCGAAGTAGCGCATGTCAATGCGTGTAAACGCCATACAGAATACGAACGAATCCAGCCACAGTGAATGTACGTCACATGGTTTAGGCAAATAGGCACACTGGCCGTAAACCCTCCGTGAGCGCCACCACCTGCCAGACCGCCGCTCCTGCAGACGTGATGTAAGTGCATGGCATCACCACCAATTGCATGATCAGCACGGCTACTAGCCGCAGAGCGTGTCATGAGTCTACCGCTCACCTCAAGGGAATGGGGTCCCACGTTGTGCGGTTTTCGGCCGCAGCCTTGAGAGTCTCCTCAGATCCTCCCGCCAGCTACCACCCGCATGAGGTCGACACATATGCTCCAGCGACGAATACAACGGCAGATATAGCCAAAAGGCAGTTATAAGTTGTTAGTAATAATTTGCCATCAGAAAGGTTTTGTGTCACTGACGATGAGTAATTGCTTTTTCGATCATGTTTGTCTCACCCATCAACAATTTGCCTTCAATCATTCAAAGGTGGGAAAGTTACAGAGATATATTATTATGTTGTTATATAAAACATCGTGGAGGGCAGACAGTCTGCAGCCTCGTCAGAAGAGACCCGACTTGGGCAAAGCTACTTAGGTGTCAGTCAAACCAAGACGTGAGCGCCATTGAGAATAGCGTCCCACCAAACAACCATCGCAGAGACGCAATGCTGCAGAACGCAACAAGCATCAATACGACTATCGTCGGGCTTACACCATCCCAAGGTCCCCCATACATCCCAGCAGACATCACCACCCGCATACCTCCATCGACCAGAAAGAACCACAAGAGAGCGTCGAATCAGGCGCAGCACACCCGCAGATCCATCACAAGACGCAATACCGCAAGTAGCAGTAAGCATCAATGCAAATATCATACGGATGGCGCCCCCTCACAACACACCCACATGATCCCTATCGAATTTCGTAACAAAGTTTGTATTGTTGTTAACTAAAAAATATCACCTACGTATCATAGTAGCACGCTACTAAGACGCCAGTGAACAAAACTCCACGTATCATAGCGCTAATGAACTAAGACTTAAAAGTGCTACCAAATACACTCATCCCAATCCGAAAGATAGACGACGCATCGCTATGCGCTACGACTTCGCCCACAAACGGTATGGGTGTGCGATGTTCACGGGAAAGCCGTATTGCTACAACAAACCCGTTTACCACCGGCACTAAGATGATATGTCTAGGACACATCGGTTAGCGAGCCCAAGTTTACCTCGGACCAATTGCTCGTGAAGCAGCATACACGCCACCATAATAATCCTTTTTCAAGTCCCTAATAAGGACTAGTCATTTTGCTACGGTACTAAGAGCAGTCGGTCACCCGACCACCCCATATAATGCTTATGCATCAAGGAGACCTTCTATAATAATGCTTTTGTATCATAGACCTTACTTTCATAAGTCATTAATATGTAGGACTTCAACCCACGATTCTACTACTGTAATGCTATTTCATCATAGAGACCTTATATAATAATGCTTTTGTATCATAGACCGTAGCCGTTAGTTAGCCGTGTAGTGGCGGTTGAGAATATCCACTACCCCATATCTTCCTGTGGGTGTCGTAAGAGGCGACAGAGGGAGACAGGCAGGAGATGGGCAGCAGCATCTTCCTGATAACAACTGTGATATAATAAAAAACTGCGGTTGCCAACCCGCTCGCCAAGCGTGGCAACTATGGCAAATATCCCCCCATGAATAACGACGCAAAAAAACGACCCCCAGTCCCCGGCGGCCCCGCTATTCCTGGCTACGGTGGCGACCATGGTAACGGCGGGGCAGGGGGTGCTAAGAATCTCCGGTGGAGGTTCGGTTGCCACCTACGACGACTCGACCTGGCAACATATAACGCACGCACCCTGAGGACTGACGAGAAGATACTGGAGCTGGAAGAAGAGGTAGACAAGTTGCGCTGGCATATTATTGGATTATCCGAGGTCCGAAGAGAGGTGGAGGACACGGCAATCCTCGAGTCCGGCAACTTATTCTACCACCGGGAGGGCGACCATCTGTCCCAAGGAGGTGTCGGATTTATCGTCCACAAGTCTCTCGTCAACAACGTTGTAAAGATTGGGAGTGTGTCGACGAGGGTCGCGTATATGATGATACTCAGAATCACCAAACGGTATTCGCTGAAGGTCATACAGGTTTACGCACCAACCTCGGTTCATCCCGTTGAGGAGGTGGAGGAAATGTATGAGGATATTTCCAGAGCCATGCATTCCTCCAGTGATGACTCACTGCTGGCCGTATGAGGACGCTCAAGGTCGCTCAGCGAGCTATGGAGAGGGCTATGCTCGGAGTTAAACTGCATATAGACTCAAAAATGAGGATATCCGCAGTAAAACCACAGTGACCGACATAGCAAAACGGATTAGTAAGCTGAAGTGGCAATGGGCCTGCCATATAGCTCGAAGAACCGATAACCGATGGGGAAGAAAGGTTCTCGAGTGGCAGCCTCATACCGGTAGGCGTAGTGTAGGGCGACCCCCCACTAGATGGAGTGATGACCTGGTAAGACATGCAGGAAGTCGATGGATGCAGGTGGCTCAGGACCGTGTTTTGTGGCATTACTTGGGGGAGGCCTATGTTCGGCAGTGGACTTGTGAAGGGCTGTAATGATGGTGATGATGATGATCATAGACCTTACTTTCATAAGTCATTCATATATAGGACTCGAACCCACGAACCTACTATTATAATGCAAATTCATCATAGAGACCTTCTATAGTATTGCTTTTGTATCATTGAGTTTACTGTCATAAGTCCCTAATATAGGACTAGTCATTGTGCTACAGTACTTCAAGCAGTCGGGCTCTCGACCACCCCATATATATGTACAACTGCAGGTATGTATCTCCGGCAGCTCCTCCATACAAGACATCTATACATGAACACCTTCCATAACTTAGGAAAATTTTCTTTTATACATGAACCCCTTCCACACCTTAGAAAATTTTTAACAAATTTTCTAATTATCTTATAAACGTTATTTATCTTTACTTTTATAATATTTTCAACTTGTATTTCTATTGTTTATCATGTTTTAAATATTTTTACAAGTTTTTATAATAAATTTATTTATTATGGAAGACAATATTTTTGCCTTTAATTTACTATGTTATTGGTCTAATGTCTGAAATGTATTTATATTAACTTTATGCTTATTAATGTAATTTTATTGCCTATATATATATATATATATATATATATATATATATATATATATATATATATATATATTTTAAGACTATTTTTCATGCCCCTTTATATAGAATTTAATTATTAATAATATTGGGCCGTCACAGTAGGTTGTATTATTTTGAAATGGTATTAGGATTTATAATTTGTGTTTGAGAAAGAGAGTAAGAGGTATAAAATAATTAGTCGGTTAAGGTAGGATGTGTTGTTTATTGATGGATTGGTTCAGTAAGCAGTGCGTGGTGACGTCACTTGGTAACCAGGCTGACGGTGGCGGTGGTAGCGAGCGCGCGCAGCTGGTGGCAGCGCCACACCCACTGCGGCTGTACGCGCACGCCGCCCACTCCCACGTCCCCCTCTTCCCCCACGCTTACCACGTAGTCCACTGTTGCACCTTCCTCAGCGCACGACTCCTGCGTAATACTAGCTCTTATAATTATTCTTTATAAACGATAATTATTTTTTAATAGAAAAAGGGTGACACGAGCACACAGTCCACCTGAAAGTGGATACTGTGACCCATAGACATCCACATGCAGGGTGTACGGTAGATGTATAACCTCGCAGGTGCTTGCACTTCGGCCACTCCGAAAAAAAAATACTTAAGCTATTGGCCATACTGGTCACAATATTTTTTTTACACAACAGACCCTCTTTACTGGAAATGAGGCATTCATTCCATCTTAGGTTTCACGGGTGACAACACATCTGCATTTTGATTCGTAATCGAGGATAGATGTAGATGTCTATGGGCCACAGCAACCACTTACTATCAGGTGGACTGTGTGCTCGTTTGTCACACTATACTATAAAAAAAGGTGCTGGTGCAAACTTCGTCATTATAAAATTAAAAATTTAAATTTTACATTTTTAAGTATTTGGAAAAATAAAACAGTTACAGCTAGAAATATTTTGCTAAACATTCGTTTATTTTCAGAGAAAATCAATTGGTTATTAATAAAGTTGTAGCCATAGTACTCTATAATCTGAACGGAGTTACCAAAGTCATAGTTTAAATAAATTAATGTTTTTCCAGACTGCTGTTGTTGGTAAGGGAGTAATGTTTTGCCGACCCATATGTGCTACAACCATAATATAGCTGCATCGTGGCTCTACCTAATACCTACTTAGTAAAAGTTCATATTGGCAACAAAGATGTCTTTATTCGATTACACATTATTGCCAGCCAATTTAATAATGTACTCGTTTTGAGTAAGACACATAGCCGGTACATACCTAAGTCTAACAGTGGACCCCAAAGATTGAAATCTAGAATTTTACAGTGGTAGAGCCACGCGGCAGCTTTGCTGTTGCACGTATGGGCCGGCTCAAACCGGGGTGGTACCACGACCTCACAGAATACCGGCGTGAAGTGGAAGCTCTGCTTCCGCGTTTTGATCGTCGCGTTTTCGTTTCAAAATTCCGCTCAAGACAACAACAGCTCGGGGCAAGCTGAGTAACAAGACCATGGCGACCCCTGCCACGCTATCCGTGAATTTCTGCAATATCAGGGCACTTCATTCTAACCTAAACCAGGCCTCTATTACTCTTGCTACCTACGTGAAATAATTACCTAAAATCGCGACGCGCCCGGGCGAAATAACGCTGTCAGGGCTAGCGCGTTGGAGGCGATTGAATGTTAGTTTTTTTAACGCTATTTACGTATATAACTTTTTGTAAATATTGTTAAAATAGTTTTTATTTAGTGTTAATATTTAAGAACTATATATATTATGTATATTACCCATTATTTAATAAATTTTAATATGGCAAATGTATCCTAATATATCCTACTATAATTATTGCGTTGATAGACGCTAAATGACCAACAAAATATTATTCTTTATTACCGAAGGATTACAATAAAAACAATATATCATTCTTTATTACCGAAGGATTTTAGTAGGAATTTATGAAACATGAATTTATTTAATTTTTATTGTTAGATAGGTACTTATAGCAAAAAAGAATTAAGTAATAATTTATTTAATATCTACGAACTTTATAACAAAATTTAGTGGAAATTTACTTCACTATCCAAATATCTACTTACATATACTTGGCTTTTGTATTAAAATATTTTAAGCTGTTATTTTAGCTTAAAATATCTTAAGCTAAAATAACACAAAACACTGAAATCAAAACTTAGTTTACCAACAAAATTTTTAACTAAGTAGAATACGATTACATTTCTATTAGGAATCGTATTTCAAGTTTATTTCTTGTTTACACTATCTACCTTTTCCTTCCGAGCCAAGCGTCGCGATTCCCGACGAATGGCCTTGCAAGTTGCATGCGTTAAGAAGCATCGCAGAACTCACGTAGGTGCGAAAATATGGTGTGTCGATCATAGTCAGAATAGGTATTTCATCTAAGTAACCTAATTAATATTTCGAAATGTATTTTGTTACTCTTTATTGACATCCCTCCATAACAACGGGGAAGAGGAAAATGTGCAAAGTAATACGGACACTCTCGCGCAGCGATATAGTTTTATTTAGCTTGCGAGCGCTATTTATCTAATTAATAATAATTATGTAGGCTATTAAACGTCGGCAAGCAGTCAACATTAAAAGAGTGAAACTTCTGTACGTAGTACGATTATTTATCCTAATGCTGATGTCTCGTATCTCTCCTACCCGGGGTACAAACTGGAACACTCCTTTGTGCCTCGGGCTGGAGTTTGCGTATACGACAGAGAGAACATCGGTTCTCGACGCCTCGGCAGTCTACAGCTAGTCTAGGCTACGCGTAGACAGCGACGACTACGGGTGCCTCTATAGGTCCCATAGCGGTAATGCCGACACAGACCGACTCTTTGACCACGTCCAAATGGCTACAGATCCGTTGCTACAGCAGATCCTCTCCGCAAATATTGTGATCATCGACGATTTTAACGCCCATCACGCCGAATGGCTTGGTTCACGTTCAACTGATCATGCGGGGAGATCTGTTTATGATTTTGCCTTGGCATATGGTCTGACACAACTGGTTACTTTACCTACGCGGATTCCAGACGTGGAGGATCATGCACCTTCCCTGTTGGACCTTCTGCTGACCTCTCATCCGGACGGATATCAGATTTCCGTCGACGCCCCGTTAGGCTCCTCGGACCACTCACGCTGAAACCGCGGTTTCATTCTGCAGGCTGCCGCCGTGTTTGGCACTATAGGTCAGCCGATCGGGATAGAGATAAAAAAGACCGCATCCTTTTTTTCGGGTTTGCTTCTCGCCGGACGATCCCAACGTTGTTGCTGATTCTGTCGCTGATGTGGTACTTCAAGGTATGAAACTTTTTATTCCTTCCTCTGTGGTGCCCATCGGAAGCAAATCTCAGCCATAGTTTGGTGGCTCCTGTAAAACAGCATCATGCTATAAGCAAGAGTGCTACTAAGCCTGGGCTGACGCATGAACGTCCCGGGATGTAAACACCAGCGCTCTAAAAAAAAAGCATAATTCCGCTTCCAGGTCTTTTAAAAAGAGTCATTGCCAAGGCAAAGTCAGAGCACATAGGCAGCATATTTTATAGATGTTGACTTGTATTTGTATTATTTATCATGTTTTAAATATGTTTACAAGCTTTTTTTAATAAATTTAGTTATTTTGAAAGACAATATTTTGCCTTTAATTTACTATAATACTTAATGTCTGAAATGTATTTATTTTAACTTTATAAATATTAATGTAATTTTATTGTTTAATATCTATCTTTTAAGATTATTTGTGACGCCCCCTTATATAGAAATTAATTATTAACTATTAATTACCCGGATGACCGGGTTTTTTGAAATTACATTTAGATACAAAATACATACCTATTGACGAATAATAGTTTTTGGTCTTATTGACATAATAGAAAAAACTGAACTAATACTTGAATAAAAAATTATGAGTGCGATTAGTTTAAATAAAATTTTCATATTTTTAAAAACTACTAAAAAAAGTATTCGAAATAATAGAATTTCTCACAAAAGAAGGGAACTTGAAAAAAAAATCGGACCGAAGACAAGACGCGAACCAAGGCATTACGAATCTGCGACCACACGATATCCACTTGAGCTATTACGATCATTAACAAAGTGTCAAAATTTACCGTCTTATATTGTAGCAGTTTTTCATTGCCTGAAAACACGGACAAAAAGACATTTTCTATAAATAAATCCTAGCTAGATCGATTTATTGCCCCCCAAACTCCCTGGACACTAAATTTTATGAATATCTTGGAGCCGTTTCCGAGATTCCGAATATATATATATATATATATATATATATATATATATATATATATATATATATATTTGCTCGTTTAAAGGTATAGGATAACTGGTGATGCTCTGTACACCGGCCATGCCAATATTTCTCGCGAAAACGTCTTCGAGTACCGGGACAAAGTTGTGTCTGAAGTCGAGTCCTTGCTGAACAAAGTCTCGGGTTGGGGGCGACTAAATCTAGTCAGCTAACAAGAACCCCTTTGTCGTATCTCCTCAGTTTCAAGACACTTCCCTTGTTGCCTCAGCCAGTATCGGAATCCTCGGCGTCGACATATCGCGTGACGTGCAGTTTCGTGGTCACTTGGAAGAGAAGGCCAAATTGGCCTCTAAAAAACTTGGCGTGCTCAGCAGAGCGAGACAGTATTTTATGCCGGCACACCGCCTGCAACTTTACAAGGTGCAAGTTCGGCCACACATAAAATACTGTTCCCATCTCTGAGCTGGGGCTCCTTCCACTTGACCGCATCCAGCGCAGAGCGGCTCGAATCGTCGACGACCGAGTGCTTTCCGATCGGCTCGATTCACTGGCACTGCGAAGAGATGTTGCATCTCTTTGCGTATTTCATCGCATCTAACACGGGGAGTGTTCCAAGGAATTGTTCGGATTAATCCCAGCCGCCAAATTTCATGAACAAACTACGCGGCAAACCTGCCGATACCATCCACACCATCCGGATGCTTGGCGGTTCATCACTGTAGGTTTCTCTCTGTGGAACTCTGTGGAATAGTTTACCACCGGCGATTTTTCTGGACCGATACGACCCGGGGACCTTCAATAAAGAAGCTTACTCCTTTCTAAAGGGTTGGCAACGCACCTGCAATTCCTCTGGTGTTGCGGATGTTCATGGGCGGCGGTAGTCACTTAACATCAGGTGAACCGTATGATCGTTTGCCCCCTCTTATATAACAAAATCTCTTACCTGCTGCAGTAACAAGCCGCCATACGCTCGCACGTAGCGAGCCAGCAGATCTACATCAAAGCCGCTCCGCCGCACATCCGCCGCTATAAGGAACGTCTTCCCATCAAAGAAGTCTGGCAGCAAGTTGGTGAGATTCGTGTCAACCTCGTCTTCACCGCGTTCCTCCTCCGTGTCGTCGTAGTCTGAGTCGTCTAGCGCCACTGAGCCTGGTATAATTGCATTTCGTCTCTCACTTTCGTCCAATGAGGACATCCAAGATTTTGTCTGCTACCTATAGCAGGGCTAGCATGGGCAGGATACAAAAATTTTATCTCTCATTATATCCATTGACAAGAGATAAAATTATCTTATCCCCGTTTGACATAACGAGTAGATATATATCCCCCCCCCCTCCCGTAGCATGGGGCCAAAGGAAAGAGAAAAATTATCCTTTTATTGACATTTGAAAGGGACAATTTTATCCTCGTTTATTGGACGTGGGTTTAAGTTTATCTTTAAACCATTTTAATACCAAAAAGATGTCTCGAGCCTACTGCAAATACATTTTCGTATCAGAAATTGAGAAACAAGAATGAAAATTACATTGGTGATCGATACGTGATCACAGTACTTAATCCATTTGAATTCCCCGACAACGTATTTCTACGCTGGTTTCGGATGCTCAAAGATTGTGTTTGTTTAAAGACCTCTATGAGGCTTTAAAGCCTCAGGATGGACTACCAGAGTATATTAAAAGCATCTATTACAACCACCTTGTGCAAAAACAACATATATTTGCTATCAATACATGTGTACTAACTTATCATAATATTTTTTTCTAGGTACTTTACACCTTTCAGTCTCTTGGCAGATGGTTACCAGAGAGGTACGAGTCAAGACCATGGAATGGCTGTTGCTCAAACAACCAATAATCAGCACATACTTGACCCAAGTTATTGGGGCTACCATTAGAATGTGAGAGTATATTGATATACTTTAATTAGTCTCTTTTGTAGGTAAATACAAGTTTCAGTGCATCTACTTTTTTCATTTTATTTTGACTAATACCGAAGTGAGTATCTAGAGGAAAAAAAATCAAAATGTAGCTAGAGGATTCCTAGCAGAGCAGAGCAAGGTCTGCCAGATACTCGTATTATTGGGGCTATTGACTGCACCCACGTTGATATATTTCTCCTATCATTCCAGACTGGGGTTTAGTACAAGAAAAGGGCGGTCTACAATAATTGTGCAACGGGTAATAGAAAACAAGCTATAGAGTTTTTAAAAACCTAATAATCAAGTTCTAAATAAAGAATAATTCATCTAATATTCCCCTTTACCCCAGAAATAACCGTAATGCTTATGTGCCACAATAATCTTACAGGTGGTCCCATTATACTATTGTCGTCCCGGTTAAAGCTTCTACAACTTTTCAGATTGTAGCCACCCTCTAACCATTGAGTTATTGAATCTCAATAGCTCAATGAATGATAAATGAACAATGTCCAAGGCGAGTCCACAGTCTATAAATTAACATTATACTGTGGCGAATCCATGATCAGATCATATTTAACAACTCGAAAGTTAAATCAGAAATGACATGTCATGATATTCATGTGTATGATATTAGAATCGGTGTATACTATACTATCTTTTAGGTATAATGTTTCAAAATAAAGTCATCACACTTAGTAAAGTTACAATTTAGTTTTAAATTAAGGAATAAGTTAATTCTTTAGCAAAGATAGTTAAATATTTTAAAGGCTATTAGGAATACAAATAACACAAGACTCGTGATCATAAAATTATTTATTCCTTGTTTTGTTTGAAATCATTAAATTTTCATTCTTTATGATTCATCATTTTCATTTAAAATTAAATGTTTGTGAAGAAATGACAATAAGCAGGCACTAATTAACAACTATATTATAATAAGTCATTAATAGAACAATTATTTTACAGGGGCTCGGGCTTATCATCAGAGCTTTGGCTAATGACTCCACAATTGAAAGCTGTCAAAATAGTTTTGCAGAAAAATATACCTACTAACTGGCATTGCCAAGTGAGAAACTGTGTGAAAAGAACAAATGGGTATCTCACAGGCACATTCAGAAGTCTGGGCATTGACATGGTACTCCACCACAGTCCAGAGAAAGCTTAACAACTAATATATTATGCTTATGCAACACTACAATATCATGCAAGATCATAGTTGCTTCTTGTAAATATATGTACATTATATTTGAGTATATGCCCACATCTATAATTACTATTTGAATGCTTGTTTACTAAACATTAATTTAATTTGCATATTGCAAAATTCAAATGGAACCACTCAAGGACAACTCACCACATCTGTGGAGCAAATCAGGGTGTTGAAAACGGTCACCCAGTTACCTTATAACATTTTATGTTATAATACGAGGGTGACACCGAAAGTACTTAGAACATAAAAAATTGAAGAAGCAAGTTATTAGTTTTATTATATCTTTTCCAAATATTGTCCATTTACATCAATACATCGCTGCATCCGATGGAACCACCGAGAAAAGCAGTTTGCCCACTCGTCCTTAGAGGTCTCTTCGGCATTTTGAAATGCATTCAGAACTGCTTCCTCGGCGACCATAAAACGTTTTCCTCAAAGTTTTTCTTTTATTGACAGAAATTAATAAAAATCGCAAGCTACCCGACGTACCTTCTTTCTGGCTCTAGTCATAGTAGGAAACTATGACTAGAGCCAGAAAGCAGGTACGTCGAGACAGAACAAAACTGTATAGATAAACGATTAAAAAAATGAAAAGTTAAGGAATTAATACGAAATCGTATGGCCGGGAATCGATCTTCTAGAAAATCGATTCAGATTGGGCATCTCTGACTGACAAGCAGAAAATATGAACTCCTTTATTTCATTTGGGTAATTGAATCTTAATTAACAAGCCATTAATATTAGAAATAAGTTCGCATTTAGAAACAGTGAAGACTGAATGCATTTTATATATTGATAATATACAAACTACAAGTTTTAGAAAAACTTGATAACTTGTTCGCTATTACCAGTTGAACATTTATTGTAGACCGCCCTTGTACTGAACCCCAGTCGGTAATGGTGTACGAAATATATCAAAATGGGTGCAGTCAATAGCCCCAAGAATATCTGGCATACCGTGCTCTGATAGTTGTACGCCCGGAAATGGCATCCGCTTTGGTATTATTTAAAAATAAAATACAAGAACACGCACAGAAACCTGTTGTATTTACCTACACAAGAGGCTAATCAAAGTATATTGTTGCTCACATTCTAATGATACCCGCAATAATTTGGGTCAAGAATTTGCTGGTGATTTGTTGTTTGAACAACATCCATTCCATGGTTTTGACTCGTACCTCTTTGGTAACTACCATAGATATAATAATGAAGGAGATATGCCCAGTAGCTGAAAATGTATCGGAATCCGGTGTCTCCAGTTGGCCCCTACCACGCGCCAACTACTACACAAACAGATCAGTAAAAGCAATAAATACGCAGTCACGCATACACTCGCATTTAATAAATCATAACGTACTACACAATTAATTATAAATCATATCTCTAAACCTAATCTAAACGTCCATTTACCATTCACCGTACTACTTACTCACACAAAAATATCGGGCACTATCGTTGTGCTGTAAAAAAGCCATTTATTTTACATATGCGTTAGTGATTGACTAAATTGGAAAGTTATCGATTGTTTCATTTAAACCAAAATTGTACTAAAATTTTTTGGGTCCTAAATATAAAATAAATAAAAACAGTAAAAAATCCGGTTACGTTGGTTTAGGCTATCATAGCGGATCGAAGTAGTAGGTATTTTGGAACCATGCTATGGTGCTTACTTACTGACCTGTAAAGTTAGCTATTTGAGCAGCACTTGACGTTTTTATATTTCTGGGATGGCATTTTTGTCAAATAGTGTAATCTTAAATTAATGTATTTTTCCATGACTGCATTTATAAGTAATATAATGTGATTATTCATCGGGGACTACTCAAATTGGTGAAACTTAACATTAAAAAAATTAAATTTGACAAAGCCTTTGTCATGAGTTCCTGTTTGATATTTTTAGTTTTAATTGCTTATTTATCATTGGCGAGACAAGCTGATAATTTTCATTCGCATACAAATTACGACGACCAGTACTAGTTTTTGTAGGGAACGAACTCAGGTGGTCTTTCTGTGGCATCAATCCATTCCTTTTTAAATTAGCATCATTTGGCGAGCCGAAAGGTACTGTTATGTCCAACCCTAGTTAGATAAAAGCGCTGACTCGATTATTATATTTATTATAAAAGCCTAGAGTTTGAGGTAATCGAGGCAGTGCAGTTCCAACCCATATTAAGTGCATATCGCACACGCCGTTCGCGGCTTTTGTACATTTCTTGTATTAATTTAATATTGGGGAAATAAACCAAAACAACTTCTGGGATTGGGTGTAAAAGTTTTTTTTTTTAAAAACACCTTCAGAGCGGCCCTCCTAACAAATTTGGTGTCAGAAGTGGGATGTCGCAAGGTCTACCGATACATCAGTAGCGTGGCATCCGAATCCTAGGAAACTCTGAAGTGAAAGATCGACAGTAAGTCTCCACCCCACGAGTGTGAGCCTGCATCATCAAAGCACCAACGAGGTCTCAGCCCCACGAGCTTGGGACACCATCGTCAACCCGAAGTTCATCAAGGCTGTTAGTCTACACCACCAGCGTGTGAGCCTGCCCTGAGCTGCTGCACTCCCATCGCACAACCACGTGGACGCCGCCGTCAAACGACTCCCTGGGTCTCACGGCAACGCGACTCCGCTGCACGTCATCGCAACACGACACCGGCATAGCAACCAATGTACACCGTAGTGATCGTGATATTGTAAGTTAGATAACTTTAATTTAGCTATAATTTTATACTATTCCTCTTCTATTTCCTCACATTCTTTTGTCATTTGTCGTGTACAATAATATTCTCATTTTACCAATTTTGTATTTACTAACTCCTAAATCTTTCTAATTCCATATGCATAAGGTTAAAACTTTAAAGGACAAACCAGAAGAAATAGAAATGTCCGACAAAATTCCCTTATCCGTCCTTGTAAAATTCATCAAACCTTACAATGGTGATAGAGAATCACTTCCGGCTTTTCTCACAAATTGTGATAACGCCATAGCACTCGCGAACTCGGAACAGCAAGCAGTTTTATAT